TTCGCCTCTTCCAGGAATGCCTGCACTGACATAGTGCCTGGTTTCAGGGTTTTTACAGCCACTTTGGTACTGTTGTTGTAGTAACCTAGGAAGAAAGCGCAGAGAGGGCACGCTTTACCCCAGTGAAAGTCCGAAACTACATGCAGAGTTAGAAGAAAATTTAGTTTACACACAGAACAAAACTTATCTAAAACTCTACATGATGCCAATATTAGGGGACCCTGAATGAAGGGTATATGAATTCTCTGTACCATCTATATAAAAACATCTAAAATTATTCCCAATCAAAAGGATTTTATAAAACAGTAGTTAAAAAAAACAACTCTATATGCATTTCATCATACTAAGATTATTCACTAATTAAGGAAATGTTCTTTATCCAAGACCCCCTGCCCCCCCGCCCGCCACCACCATTCAAAGCTCTGTATACTTTTACACACACACACAATGGTCTGGAAGAAAATATACCAAAACACACCAAATACTAGCTATCTTCAATGGTGCAATTATGGGTGATTTTAATTTTGTTCACCATTCTTCTAACTACCTACCGCTTTTTCTACAATGAATATGTGCTATTTTTATAATCAGAAAAAAAGATTTGCACATTAAAAAAGTACTTATATGTATTAACATTACAGTACAATATACAAGTGTCAAATAAGCATTCCCCAAAGTCTTCAAAGACTTGGGTGATTCCCCACGAACAAAGGGTTCTGCATTGAATGTCTGGGAACCACTGCCTGTCACCACCTCCTCCACCCAGCAGATGCAGCAGGAATATGAGAGCCCTTCAGGGAAGAAACCCATCTGCTGGTTAACCTCAGCACTTCCTACACTTTCCTGACCACAGAACATTATAAAAAACCATACCTTTTCACACCCCATGGAATGCACTTTGGAAATGCTGACTCCTAACATAGCTCTCCCAAGGCACCACTTTTCTGGGACCTGCCTCGGTGATACGCTTAATTCTGAGCCAGGTTTTGTCCTAGGAAAGCATTTTCTCAGGGATTTGACAAAGCAGAACTATAGATAATCACATTCCCCCTTTCTTCCCTCTGTCCCCATACTTCTCTTGGAAGTACAAAGAAAAAGGTGAGGAGATAGTGACATCTGGTTAGGACCATGAGCCTCCCAGCAGATGACATCTACCTGTACTTGCCCTGAGGAAAATACAACTCTAAGAAATAGTGACAGAGTGTCCAGTCCCCTTGTTTAGGTCACATAATTATCTGTATATGTACAGCATAGAGAGCTGACAGCACACTCAGTAAAACACCAACAGTGATGATCTCTGGGTGGTAGAATTTGGGGTGATGGTTAGTTTCTTTTTTTAAAATTTGTGAATGAGTACTTATCTTTTTTTTAACCAAGGAATTATTTTTAATGGAAATGTTTCTATTTTCACACCTTCAAATGGGCAAGAGAAAGTATAAGTTTACAGTTAACAGTCAACCCTAGCAGTTTTTCTTCTGATCATTAACACTGATTTCTGTTAAAACTTTTCCCTTTACATTCCACCTTCACTTGCATTTGTAGCTTGCAGTGCCCTGTAGAAAAGTGAAGAATCAAGTATATAAAATAAAATGTGTTAGAACCTATGGATAAGATAGTAATAAAAAGCTAAGAAAATACTATCCTAGGTCATTCTCAAAAGTTGCAATCTACACAAAATTGGATTATGCATATATTAAGTTGATTTTCCACCTAAATGCATAATTGCAAACAATGTAACCTTTCATGACTCTTAACAGGAAAGTTAGAGTAAACTCCACCACCAAAAGTCCTTTAATATTACCCTTGAATCAAGGAGATTCCACTACATTCATTAGAGCCACAAAAGACCCTGAATAGCCAAAACAATCTTGAGAAAGAAGAATAAAGCTGGAGGTTTCAAATAGTACTACATGGCTATAGTAATGAAAACAGTATGGTACTGGCACAAAAATAAACACACAGATCAATGGAACAGAATAGAGAGCCTAGAAACAAACCCACGCATGTATGGTCAATTAATGTATGACAAGGAAGGCAGGAATATACAAGGGGGAGAGGCCAATCTATTCAATAAATGATGTTGGGAAAATTGGACAGCTACATGCCAAAGAATGAAACTGAATCACTGTCTCACATAATGTACAAATATAAACTCAAATGGATTAAAGCCCTAAAAATATGACCTGAAACCATGAAAATCCCAGAAGAAAACACAGGCAGTACACTCCTGAAGAGCAGCATGAGTAATTTTTTTCTGGCTGTTTCTTCAGGCAAGGGAAACAAAAGCAAAAATAAACAAACAGGACTACATCATACTAAAAAGCTTCTGCACTGGAAAGCACACCACCAACAAACTGAAAAGGCAACCTACTGAACAGGAGAATATATTTGCAAATGATAGATGTTAAGGGACTAATACCCAAAATATATAAAGAACTCACACAACTAAACACCAAGAAAAAAATAACCCAATTAAAATACGGGCAGAAGACCCAAAATATCATTTTTCCAAGTAAGATATCCAGATGGCCAACAGTCAAATGAAAACATGTTCAACAGCACTAATCATCAGGGAAATGCAAATCAAAATGACAATGAGAAGTCACCTCATACCAGTCAGCATGGCTAGTATGGAAGAAAATGGAAGAAAAAGCAAGTGTTGGCGAGGATGTGGAGAAAAGGGATCCCTCATGTAAAGGGAATGCAAACTGGCGCAGTCACTATGGAAAGATGTATGGAGGTTCTCAGAAAACTAAAAATAGAAATACTGTATGACCCAACAATATTTCACTTCTTGTATTTACCCAAAGAAAACAAAATCCTTAATACAAAAAGATACATGCACCGTATGATTACTGCAGTATTATTTACAATAGCCAAGGTATGGAAGCAACCCAAGTGTTCATCAATAGATGAATGGATGAATAAGAAGCGGTACATACACACAATGGAATATTACTCAACCACAAAAAGAATGAAATCTTGCCATTTGCAACACCATGGATGCCCTTAAAGGATATTATGCTAAGTAAGTCAGACAGAAAAAGACAAATACCATATGTTTCACTTATATGTGGAATCAAAAAAATGAATCAAATAAAAAAACAAAACAGACTCATAAGTGCAGAGAACAAACTAGTACTTGACATAAAGGATGAATATAATAGGCAAAGAGGATAAAGAGGTACAAACTTCCAATTATAAATAAAAAAGTCATGGAGATAAAAAGTACAGCAAAGGGAGTATAATCAGTAATATTGTAATAACTTTGTATGGGGACAGATGGTAACTACACTTATCATGGTGAGGATTTAGCAATGTATTTAATTGCAGAATTACTATGGTGTACACCTGAAATCAACACAAGATTGTATTATCAACAACACTTCAATTAAAAAAAAGGTTTTGTTAAAAACGTGATGACAAGTTTATAGATAGATCCTCAACGACATGAATATTATTAGCAGCAAAGCAGAGCAAGAAAACACACTCTTTGATACATGTAACTGACAAAGAAACAGTGTCCGGAATATATAAAGAATTACTACAAATCAATAAGAGAAACAGAAAAATAGATGGGAATTTCAAAAAATAAATCCAAATGACAAACAATATGTGAAAGGAACTTGACCTCATAGTAATCAGAGACATGCAAATAAGGCTGTAGGGAGAAACTACCACCCAGCTTGAAAACAATTACATAGTCTGACAGTACAACTGCAGGTGAACATGTGCCCCCTTGGTAGGGAAACTGGGGCGGTGTTCTTTTCTGAGCAATATCCCGGGGACCCACGAAGAATGTTGACAGAGCAGCCTCCTTGCATGTGCAATAAGCTTGAGTGACAGCAGACACACACACGGGCTGTGCTGACCCGGGACCCACATCCTTCCAGGTACAACTCTGGCGGTCAGGAAGTGGGATGCTGAGAACTTCCGTACTTCGCTGCTCAGAGTCTGAACTGGGACAAGCACTTTGGAAACTTGTTGGCACTATTAAGTAGAGTTGAGATTCCTATTTTTATGATCCAGCAAATCCACTCCTGGTCAACCTAGGGAAACATGTGCCCTTAAACCAGCACAAAAACGTTCACAGTGGCATTGCCCATAGTAGTCAAAACCTGGGAATAACTCCAATACCATCAATAAATAGTGAAATCAATGGATAAACTCTTCGCATCTTGAATACAAACATAGCACACACTGCTATGGAGCAATGAAGGTGAATGAACAGCAACTACACCCCAAAGCATGGATGAATCTCACAAATGCAACATTGAATCAAAAAGGGAGGACATAGTAAAGGAGTTCATTTGGTACGATTCATTTATGCAATGTTCAAAAATAGACAAAACTAAACTAGAGTGTCTGCAGGTGCATATCCCCATCTACACAAGTAGTAGAAGTATAAAAAAAAGCCAGGAAATTATTACAAAAGTCAGAATAGTAGTTACCTTTGTGGTTAGGAAGGGGTAAGTGGAAGCTTCTGGGTGCTGGCAAGCTTCCAGTGTGTGATCTCAGGGGTCTCCACACAGGTTTTCATTTTGTAAGTATTTATGATATTGAATATTTGTGTCTTACAACCTTTTCTGTTTGCTTGTTGTTACAGAGCAATAAAACAGAAAGAAACAAAATGATTCCCCTTTTCTCATCATAAAAGCAATGGAACTTATTGAGACTTTTACATAATATAAAATTATGGTAAAGGATGAAGAAGAAAACAATGCTTTCCAAGTGTAGGGGGGAAAGTCATCAGGAAATCTACTACAGCTGCTAAAGATATAAAAAATGCTGATAAGGAGTTCAAATGAACAGTGAATAAAACAGCTGTGTAGGACACAGCTGAAGAATGGCACCAGCTTTTTTTAGGGCTGTGGCACTTAAACAACAGGGCAGGTTTTCATCTTGCACTAAAGGCATGATTTTTATTCAGCACTAAGTATCAAATTGTACTTTATGAAGATACATTCTGTAGTGTGAAGATTCAGTTAACCTAACCAGGGGGTTTATGTTGACATTACAGAGGGAAATGATCTTTTAAAATAAATCTTTGGAAAGTAGTAAAGAATTTTTTGTGGAGTGCTACTT